GCATCCCAAGCCAGCTCTTAACCACTGCGCCACTCGGCTGGCCCAACAATGGGTGAAGTTTTGACAGATGGAGATGGGGAGGATAAGCATGTTTGATAGAAGAAACAATATGGACAAAGGCATGGAGACAGAAGAATACAGGGCTTGAGTAAGGAGCAGTAAATAGCCCTGTTGGTTGGAGCACAGGACATGTAGAGTGGTGGGAGCTAGGATTGAGAAGGGAAGTTGGGGGCCATTTTGTAGCTACAGAATTTCAATGAAATCAGTAAGCAGTTGAGAGTGACTAAGTAGCGTGTGTGTGTGTGTGTGTGTGTTGAACAGAGTGGTACACCAGGGTGATTGTTCTGCAGCAGTGGGCCCCTCATTTAGAAATTTTTATTCAGAAGATTATTGATGGGACCCAGGTATATATGTATTGGGTTGTCTGAAAAGTCATGACGCATTTTTGCAATGATAAACACAGAAAAAATACGTCATGACTTTTCCGACAATCCAATATTTTTGACAAGTGTTGCAAGTGAATCTTATGGTCAGGCAAATTTGAGAAACATTGACTTAGAATTTATGTTTTCATTACTGGCAGTTGAAGGAGGTTTTTTCCCAAACTTCTATCTTTTTTGAAAATAAAATATTTTTAAAAGGAAAATTATTTGACTAGAATCAATATTTATACACATAGTGTATGTATTGTACTATACAGTATACTTCTGTCATATTTATAATTAAAGATTGGTAAGAATACTATGAGAAAAATTGTATATTAAATGAAAAGGGGAGTGTATAGGAGTGGAGAGAAATGGGAGGGGTGTGTTTATTGCTGAGAGAAAGTAGAAAGCCAAATGACAGAAATCTAAGGTGGCAAACAACAGTTTGTAAGGTACAAGAGCTTCACAATCATGTCTGAAACCTTCTTTGGTGCTCACTTGTAAACAGTGACTTTGTTCTAAATTTAGGGGAGAAACCCACTATGGTTTAAAGTGTTTTTATAAGAGGCTTTAAATGAAGGGTAATCCTTATATTTACTTGAAGTAATTTAAATTGGAAGCTTTTAACAAATTGCTAACTCTTCCCCTCTTAAAAATTGTCTTTAATTTGAAATGAAAAGTTAAGTTGATATTTATACTCTATTAGTGTCCTTATACAAAGACTTACTACATTTTACATTTCCAAATTTCATTTCTTGACTTTGCTGAAAGGAATATGCTACTCAATTGATTTTTTCAAATTAAGGTAAAACAATTTACTTTGACAACTGCATGCTGTACTTTCATCCCCAGGTTTCTGGTGGTAAAAGATCAGGTTTAACAGCGATTTTGACATGAGAGCAGTGAGGCCTACCATTGCACTAACTTGATTAAAATTGAGTTCTGTTGTTTGCATTAGAGGAAAATGAAAGGGAACATATTATATCTGATATTAAAAAATCAAGTATTTATTATGCAAGAAGAAGAATGGAGGAAATAGAGCTGAAATGATAGGATTGACAGATTTATAGACTGTCGAAAACCATTGGTCTGCTAAAAATATTATTATTATTATTATTTTAAATTGGATTAGCTAAGTTTAATTTTGAGGAGGAAAAGAAAAACACAGTGCATGAAGGGAACCCACAACAGCTATAAAGCTATAGTGAATTTCAACTGTAGTTTATGAAATTAAAGCTACACTTGTTATATATCATCCTACTGCTAGTAAACAGTCTGTGTCTATTCAGTTTGCATCAGCAGTTACATTAAGTTTGCTCTGACATCTTTATTTTCATAATCCTTTAAAAATATTATTGATTATTTGCTTTTGTCTCATGTGAGCCAAACACAACAATAACAAAAAGCTTTTATCCTGTAGTTATTTATTTGTATTCCCAGCACCACTGCTGTTATTAAGGAGTGTGTAGGGTGATCAATAACTGAATTATTTACAGAATTAAGTCAGAAGTTTAGGGTATTTCAGAATGATGTTGGTAATGTGGTCAGTGAGCTAAAATAAAGTCTGACTAGAGGTGGGATCACCATGAATCCATGTTGGTATCTTGTTGGATCTGGTACCCAGAAGTTGACAAACTGATTAATAAAACACACTTTCATTGATTAATTTACAATTGTTAGATGTGCTCATTCTTCTTTGCTCCCTTCCTCTTTCATTTGTTTGTTCATTCATTCATTTGTTCACATAGAGCAATGGCTTCCAGTCTAAGATCCTCAGGCTCCTAAGGATTTTTTTTGTTGTTGTTAATCCACTTTCAATCTCCATTGTTTTGCTTTTTACATTCAATATTATTTTACATTAATTTCATGTGTACAGCATAGTGGTTAGACTTTTATATAACTTAAGAAGTGATCCCCCTGTCTCATCTAGTACTCACCTGGCACTATACATAGCTATTACCATATTACTGACGATATTCCCTGTGCTTTACTTTACATCCCTGTAACCACTTTTTAACAATCAATTTGTACTTCTTAATCCCTTCCTCTTTTTTCACCCACACCCCCAACTCTACTCACATCTGGCAGCCATCAAAATGTTCTCTGTATCTATGAGTCTGTTTGTTTTGTTTGTTTGTTTATTTTGTCCTTTAGATTCCACATATAAGTGAAACCACATTGCATCTGTCTTTCTCCATCTGACACTCCACTCAGCACAACACGCTCCAGGCACATCCATGCGGCCACAGATGGCAAGAACACATTCCCTTCCATGGCTGAGCAATATTCCTTTGTATATATGTACTGCCTCCTCTTTATCCATTCATTCAACGACGGATACCCAGGCTGCCTCCACATTTTGGCCATTGTAAACAATGTTGCGATGATCATATGGATGCACATGTCCCCTTGAAATAGTGTTTTGGATTTCTTTAGCTAAATACCCAGAAGTGGGATTACTGGGTTCTCT